GTAAAATATCGTTATTGAAATGTTCTTCTTTCTGCCTCCGCGGCGCAATTATAAAACGAAGCAGACGGATAAAAACGCGTTAATACACAATAATTGTCTTAGTCACTCAAAAAAATAGCTTACTAACGCAGGTAGATTTCTAGGTGTAGTAACAAAAATTTATCGCTGTTTTGTGTATCTGTTAGGAAATCGTTTGTAGCCTACGAAATTTATAGCAGCGACATTTTATTAATACCTTCCGGAAAGTTTAGGTTTTATGACTAAATATTAGTCATTCGTATTGGATAGAAATGAATCTCGGTACCATAGCTAGAGCAATTTTTGTAAGGAATATAACTGTTTATGTACCACGAGCAAACGTTACATCGAATGGGCGTCACGGAAAGACTTTCTTCCTAATATTCGCTGACAGTTGAGATAGAAATTCTGTTTCTGTCATTTAAATCGATTAAATACAAAACATATGCGATTTCGCAGTATTGGCTATTCATTTATATACCCCGGTTATTTTTTCGTACCTAGAAAATTGTTGCTGCGGTTGCAAGATCATTTTCAGCGGTATGTTAACACCATTACCCAACGGAGCTCGAGTGAGCCCTGCTGAATTATTTGTCCGAGCGTATTAATTACCGTTGCGCGAGATCCCAGATCTTGGGATCCACTCGCAAGGTATGAATTATTGAAACTTTATTGCGCGCGGCCGTGTTCCTTGTTTCTCGCGAATTAAAGTGGCATCTCGTTGCGAGAAGTTGCGAGGTTCGACCCATCATGAGAGAGGGTCTCGCGCGCGCGCACGCGCGCACACACACACGTGCACAGAAAGGACTGTTCGCCGCACTGTACACACCTTCGCTGTACTTGCGCCTTCGTGGTACGTGAAAGGCGCATTAGCCTCACCTTTAATCGCCCGCAAGTCGTCGGCGAGGCCGATTACCTGCAGGCCATTAAAACTGTCATACGAGGGATCTTTCGGCGATCAATCGCGGTGTTTACTGGCCTCTTAACGAGACGACATTATCCACGTTGAGCGAGCGCGAGGTTCGACGGGCGCGATTTTAGCCGCGCGCCGTATTTTTCGGGGCTCTCACCTGCTACGTGCGGACAAAATGGAAATGATTCGCGTATTTTAGAAGCTGCGATAACGATGATCGACGCGTTCACCGTTACGTCACTCGCAGCATTCATATGCGACAGCTTTCTCGACACGTCCGCGCGTACAAGTTTCTTATTGTCGGTTACCTCTTATTCTACGGTCCCCGGAGAAATTTATTAACTATTTATTAAACATTAATAATTGTACAACGCCGTATAATTCTCTCAGCGGCGCATCATGTCGGGCTGCACCGCACGATGGTGGCCTAATCGTACGAATCCGCATTATTTCACTATACGTTATTAATCTTGCTGTCCAATTACATTATTAACTATGATTTATCATTATGGTTGTACCTTTGCGCACGCTGGCATTAAGATTGCGCGATAACGCTGCTACGTTGAATTATCAAAGTTAAGTTAAAGTTGGTCACATTTAAGAACCGCAGTACGAGACGTACCCGAAGAAATTTATCGTTGATAATTTGTCAATATATAACGTATTTATGTATTATTGCCTCTTCGTGTAGCAATCGATAGGAAAAATATTAACATTTCGCGGGATGACTTTCCCTTTCCTATCGTGATCTGCACAAGATTTTACACACGAGATTTTTATTTAATTGACCTTCCAGTTTCTATTTTCCATTACTTTGACAATCGTCTCCCACAGCGTTCAATTTCAATATTAAATTCTAAATTGATCTAAATTAATCTCATTCATAACGTTTAAATAAAATTAATTATGATAAAATTTAGGAAAGACTAAACGCTATGAATTAGATTAGTTGAGATTAATTTACATTTAGATCAATTTAGAATTTTAGATTAAAGGCACAGCACTTTCCCCCGAGTACAAATAAAACGATCGTCGATTTTCATCCGCAAAAGGTTAACGATGATCATTAAAACTAGAATTCCCCGAGAAAAGAGACTATTTCCCAAACGTCGCCGGTCACGAAATGTTCGCCGAAAGAACGCCGAGCTAATCTTCCCTCATCACGTGCACGAGAAGCGTGAAGCTACCTAAGGTAACTCACGGCATCGTTAGACACCGCGAAAGCGCCGATTCCGAGGATATAATTAACGACACGAGCCCGAGTCGGTAGCGAAGGCTATTTTTTTCCCCGCTCGCGCTCGCGCGGTTGCGCGCCGCCGACTCGCAAACGCGGTTAATGGAATACCCGATCGCCGCTCCACGGACGGACGGCGGGATCATCGGCGTAGCCACCACGTGCTTGGTGCACCGTGCGCGGCGCGATGCGCCCGCACCCGTCACGTCTCAGGATCGCACGCGGATTTTTCCCGAAACCCGTTTCGCGCGGCGCGTCGCGGCCTCGTCTCGGGCTCGTGTCCTACGGCGTAGCCTACGCGGCTTATCGACGAGCTCGTTCTTATTCTCAGGTCGATCCTTTTCAGGTCGATCGTAGGGACGGACCGTAATGGCGAACGATGAGCGAAAGACGAACGGTGCACTCGCGACTTGTACCAATCGGATTGCACGAGGGTCTCGGTGATAATCTTTAATCTTCTTCTTACAAAATCAATTGCAAAAATTGTGAGGCCTCATATATTGGTCAAACCGAACGACACCTGGCTACGCGTGTCAAAAAAACACTCCAATGACATAAAGAAACATCCTAACAATCATTCGGTGGTCAGTGGACACCGCGCATCAAGCGGACATGACTTTGATCGGTCATCCCCGGAAATTGCACGTAGTGAGAAGCTATCAATTTAAAAAATGACACTGATAATCTTAACCCGATATACGACAAAATTATTAACTTGGTTTAGTTTATTTCTCAAAAGCATCTCTGGCCGTCTTATAGCGAATTCGGTTGCTTGCACTGGTGCGCACTGAGTGCGCACTAAGGCTTGTTTACAGTCAATTCTTATATTTCCGAAGCGTCTTAAATATTCTTGAAATATTTCGTAGCCAGTAAAATGATCTGTATAGCATCCATACGGATTGTTTTCTGGCTAAATCGCTTTGAACGTGCATTTAAGACAAAGTTAAGTATAAAAATTGACTGTAAACTGGCCTTGGTGTGCACTCGGTACGCACTAGTGCAAGCAACCGAATTCGCTATTAGTTTGTGTCTCCTATATGTTTATAACGGTTGCCTGACCTTTGAATACTAAAATGACTAATCAATCTTGGTCTTACATCCCTCGGCTACGGACATTAGTGAAAGTGTACTCTTAACACAGAACTCTATTCCGCTAAAATGCGTTTTTACTTGTATTTGACGTAACTCCGTAACAAGGTAGGCCTACAATTATTCTGTACAATGCCTGTACGCTTCTCACGTAATTTATATGTAAAACACTTACTCTTAGCTCCCACTTGATAAGGACCTAAACCAGAGGTCGAAACGTTAGAGGTCGATTGAAATTTTTGAAATTTTATCATTATTAATACTGGCAATCTGAAGAAACATACTTGTTGATAATCTTCAAGTAAAGATTTCTATGAGATGACGATCGATTCTGCTACATAACTACACTAGTGCAGCAATTCATGTCACGCTTATGCGTGCGAACTGAAGTAATTCGTTATAAGATATATTATATAAATAATAAATCAGGCTCTTGACACTCAATAGTACTGGAAAGTCCCCTATTATGAGACAGGCCCCTAATATGAGACAGCGGAGTTTCTGCTAGATGAATAGGCATGATCTGGTGGTTCGATCATGAATTTATTTCCCTTGCGGCGAAATCTGTTCGGTGGAAAATCGATTGCTAGATCGTGTAATCGTTGCGAAATAAGATTTGTGTGATTGATTTTGAAAACCTACTATCTCACGTTAGAATCCTATCTCATAATAGAGGACTTTCCTCTATTAATGTTAGTTTATTAAGCGCTCGGTTATTTCTGTCCAGAGATTTTATATATTATTTTAGATCCCAATCACATTATTGATTGACGACATTACGAGCAATTAAAATACTAGCCGTCTTGCAGCCTGATAAATGCAGCTTTCCTTTGATAGCGGTACTCTATAGAGCACGGAACGACGCGCATAGACAATAAAGTCATTAAATTTATAGCGGCCGAGAGAGAGAGAGAGAGACAGAGAGAAAAGCTTGGGCAAACAGTAGAAATGCGCATCGCATTTTGAATCGTGTCAAGACTCCACAATGGGAATATGTAATGCGAATAATAATCGCGCGAGAAGGGCACAACCGGCGATGCAGATCTCCTAAAGTGCGAAAGAGCACGCATTAATAGCCGCGTATTATTGTAGCCGTGGATCCGACCATCTGATTTGTTGCCGAGTGTCAGAATAGGATACGCTCGCGGACTCTGAAACAGGTATAACCGCGCGTAGGCGGGCACGTCAGTCGACGGCTGCTCTCTCTCCTACCACGTGAGAATTCCGTCTCCGTGCAGCGCGGTTGGGTTCACCAATATGTTATGGCTGTCGAAAAATTGTGGGAAGGAGGTAAAATATTTACACTTTTGTGCAAACATGTTAAAAAATGAGGGAAGAAAACGAGAGCGTTGTTAAACATATAAATATAATATCGGTGGACCACATTCGTCGGTAAACGTACTTAAAAAAAAAATTAATGCTAAAAAGTCACATAAATATTTGTGTTGTGCGATATTTAATTACCAGCCTAATTAAGACGCGAATGTTCGAAAGCTCGAGCTCGGCGCATTTCTTCGTAAATTCCGCAAATACGAAATAAATGAAGAAATAACTTTTTAACAACATCGTTAAGAGCATCGCATGCCCTCGATACCCCGTTGGAAATATCTTTCCTACCAGGCACGAAGATACCGTGACGAGAATTTCTTTTCGCGATCGCGAAATATCTGTTGTACCATCGTCCGTTCGGAATTCCGTTTCGGCGTGCGACTCGATATTGCTGAGGGGGGGAAAAAAAAGACTCACGTCGTCCCTATCCTCTCGGAGCTCGTCGTCGGGGCTTCCCTCGAGAACGAAGCCGACCTCATTGTTGTTCCTCGTGAGCGACGGCAGCTTCCTCGGCGTCAGCTCCTCGCCGTCCGTGTCTCTCTTGCGTTTGCCGTGCTCGTTAAGCGCGGCCTCGTGCTCTTCCAACATGTCGGTGACCATCAGTTCAGACTCGACGCTCGTCGGGGATACGACCTCGTCCAACGGTGACATCGTCGTCGTCCGGTCGGCTTCGCCGGTCTCCAGGACGGACATGGTGGGCTCCGGGGTCCGCTGATGATGCCCGCTACCTCGCTCGCCGGGGCTCGCGCAGATCCGACGAGATAGTTGCCGGCCGCTGATAGGCGACAGCGAGACACCGACAGTGGCCAGGTGGGTGCGGACGCGGGCACATAGAGCCTCCTTTCGTCGTAAAATGTCGCTCGTTGCGCGACCAATTAGCGGAAGTCGCCAGAGATTATCGGTTACTTAATCCCGGAATTTCAATGAGCTCGCCATCGTCAATTGGAAAGAGATCCAGAGGTCGGAGAGCCCGTTTGCCAATCCCGACGACAATGACGTAAGGATGCCTCGATAATGAGACATGAGAGCCTCGTGTACACGTGTTAAACTTCAATTCGATCGATACATCTCTGTATATGCCTGTCGTTACGGCCGGCGCACGGCGCGTATATCATCCGGTAATGATTGTTTAATGAAAGAGGAATGCGCATGGGTTCGCTATTGCCGTTAAACTTTGGCCAATTACGAAGATCCGATTGTCAGTAATATCCATGTACAATTGTCGAGTCGCATCGTCGGCGGCAATCTCCTCTGATTATTCCTTGATGGCATAATGATCGTCCATTAACCGGATAAACTCGGTTTATTTAAGAGAAATATCAGCAGGCTCGCGGTTCAAGCCGCAGAGTCGCGCGTCGTTAGCGAAACGTTCCTGAGGAACGTCTCGTAAGGTTTTTCATCGGGTTTCGCCTTGACTCCGCGATTAAATTTCCATACACGATCCAGGCATTAAAGCTGCTTTTAATCGTGGCGATGTGCTCCTTGCGATCATCTCCGTTTGATGATATCTGAATTCAGAGACGCGCACGAACATTATACGCGGCTTGCCCGTACGATAGTTTTACGACAGGTGGCACAAATCAATGGCACGCTTCGCGCCGCAAAACGCGCACGTGCGCAGCGCCTACCCGGGGGAAAAATTGTCGCAAATGGAAATTCTAGCGTGTCACTACTACGAGGCATGAAGCTTCGAAGTATCCATGGCGATACAATGGCACTGCTATAATTGTATGCAAATTCGCTGTCAAACGTAACTTTCACTGCCGCTGAAGAGCCATCTCGGGAGGAAACCACGGGGCTGTTCTCGACGCGCGTTATGTCCCGCTCAATTAAGAGAGCTCAAACGTCAACGGTATTTGCGAACAGCTGTCAGCGCGCCGTTCGCCGTAGCTTCGACATCTCGATCGCGCGACGACGAGTCGCCGTTCACGCGTCTCGTCTCGGCAAGGGACTTTGGACGACGCAACTCGGGATTGTATAATAGTGCGAGACTGCGCGGGCGATCGCGGGCGCATGTCAGTCACCGCGCAGCGCGGGACAACGATAATCCGCGGGAAATTATTGTAATTTTGACCTGAGACCGAGCCGCCGCGGGACCTCGCCGCGCTCGTTGCGTGACAATCTGCCGCTTACGTCAAGTCCTGTCGCGGTTAAAATACGCGGGGACAGTTCAATGCCTCTGTTCTTGCGTCACCGATCGCCTCAGGACCGCGTCTCGCGTACACGCGATGCGTCAGCTTTCGAACGAGTTTCGACGAGGCTCGTTTCGTCGAGACGATCGTCGAGGGGGACGACCTCGCGCCTGCCTGTGCGCGCATTCAACTCTCCGGGCTCCGCGCGCGCGATACGCGCGGTCTCTCTCCCGGTCCCGCGTTTTTCCCCGCTGAAGCGGCTTTCGATCGGATACGTCGACGCGTAATTAAGAGGCGTCGTCGAACACGGATTTTCCTCGTATCCGGACGCAGTCACGTCGCGCCTCTCATTCAGGCCTGCTTTTTCTTTTCCTTTTCGCCGTCGACAGAGTGACTAATGAATTTGAGAAAACGATCGGGGAGATCGAGCGATCCGCCTTGCGAGTCCCCCTCGTATCTCGGGAATCTTCGTGCGACTCGATCGCGACGCGGGATTATCGGTGTCTCGCGACCGCATCCAATGGCGTACGCTCGCGCGTGTCGAACGACGCAGGAGCCGCGGGCAGCAACCGAAAGTCACGTGGCAGGCCGGTTCCGCGGTGCGAGTCGGTGCCGGCTTACCGTTCTCACAATCGACAGCCTGGCCGCTCGACCCGGCCCGATTTCACCGCGGAATCGAGAGACGCGGACGGTGGTGTTAGGTGGCGGGTTACCGTCCCCTCGATCGATCAACGCGCGCGGCACGCAGGCACGCCGATATCCTCTCTCGGCTTACGACGCGCGGTCGATCGCGTTATTCGATCCCGCGTGATGAATCACGTGTATGCGCACCACGCAAATGGTTGAAATTGCTCGCACCGGGGCTCCCACCTTCTCCGCCGGCGATCGCGAGACTCGAGTCTCGAAAATCTTTGCCGTCAACGGTGGCTGACTCACGCATTACGCACGAATCCGATCTCGTTACGGCTTACATAATTCCGTTCCGTAAGCACTGCGTACAGCGGCATCACCACTTTCCGGAATCCGTCTCACTTTGCGGCGGGAGGTGTTGGCATCCCGCGGCGAGGGCGCGATCGATCAATCGTAGACCACGTGGTCGTGCACTGTCACGTGGGGGCGGAGAGAAGGAGACGACGACGACGACGACGACGACGACGATGACGACGACGACGAAGATGATGATGACGCTGACGATTAACGAGAATCCGCACGGCAACGGAAGGGGTAGCCGCGGGAAGGGAGCACCGAACCAGGCCGCGTTCTGCGGGGTCACTTTCGGAAAAGTCACCCGGTGGAAAGCCGCGGTACGCACTCTTTTAGACGCCCGTGTATTGGTCGAAGGTCGACGAGGACCGATCGGGCGACACCGCGTTGGCGCGCGCGCCTCTCGAGAATGGCCTAGAGGCGAAAAGAGGAAAGGATCTCCTCGAGTGGCGCCGCCCGCGGCAGGAGGGGGCAAGTGTCTCTCTCTCTTTCTTTCTCTCTCTGTCTCTCCCCTTCCCTCGCTCCCTCGTACGTGGAGCAAGTGTTGGAGTTGTACTCCACACGATATGCCCGGTGGACCACCACCATCACCATCGCCGGCGACCATCACCATCGCGCGCGCTACCATCGCGAGTCGTTGGTACCGGTGCGTCCGCGGGCACCAACACCATCGACGGTGCCCAGCTGTCGTGCTCTCCGTCTCGCTTCATCTCGCGACCTCGCGGCCTCGTCGGCGCTGCTTCCGCGCCGACGAACGCCTCTCGAGCTCCATCCTCCCGCTCTGCCGGCCCCCCTTCCGCGTCGTTCCTCCACCGCGCCGTGTTCCTCCTCCTCGATCTCGAGCGTCGTCTCCGTTCGACCGCAGTCGGAGACTAGACCGCTCGGTGTCTCTCCTTCTCCCGCGGCCTCTCGTCGAGTACGAGAGTACGCGGTACGTCCCGAGAGCCGCGGATCGAGAAGGATGGTCGCGCGACTCGAGCGAAACGGACGGCGGGAGGGTGAGAGGGAGGGAGGACGCGGATTTCACATTTTCCTTTCGGTGGGACGTTTGATGTTTCCTCCCGTTCCCCCTCGTCATTCGTTGCTCCTCTGAGCTTCTTCCTGGTCGCCGGGACATCGGCAGGGTAACCGATCCCGCGGGGACGTGCTTGTCAATGAACTCGAGTGTATACTTATCTCGGGCCGCTTTGTCGCTACCTTCGCGGCTGACGGCCGAGCTGCGTGCGAGGGCACGTCGAGATCTGGTTAGATCAATTTATCGGATACCCGAATCTTTTTGAATTTGTTAGATCGCTTCTGAACGTAAAAACTCTCCCTCTCTTCCCCCCCCCTCTCTCTCGTGCTTCTCTTTTCTACCGAGCATCTAATTATCAACATGTAATTCACAGGCAAAGTCCTCTTATTACGTGCTGCATACATTGCGCGATGGAAATAAGTGTATAATTACCGTAATTATTATTACGTTCGACCACGATCTTGGTACGAGATCAAATCTATTCCGCATTAAAAAAAAAGTAATCCGATCGTAAGCACTTGGCATTAGAATTTTATATGAATTTCAATAAATCCCGATCTCTCCGTCACTTTCAATCCCACTTTTTCCTGGCTCTCGCCGGGAAGAACATTGTTGCAAAGCCGTCCCGTGTGCCCGATCGTCTTTTCCTTCAAACGGAGATAAACACGCGGTCGTTCAACTTGCGCGCCGTTTATAAGTTTTCGAGTTTATCCCACGATGCCGATGTTTTTTTTATCGCGCTGCGATAAATCTCGCCTGGCCACAACTAATTTCTCTCTCGCGATACCGAACGGTCACCTCTCTTCCCGTGTTATACTGCGACAGGTATTTTCGTAACGCTGTCCTTCCTTTCATTTCCTCTCCCTCTCATTCTCATTCCCGCATGCCGAGATATTTTCGTTCTGCGTGTCATCGGTTTACGGCGCGTATCTTCGCAACAGGTACCGGGCTCCTTGTCTTTCCTCCGTCGCCGATCGTTACTAACGACGCACGATCCGTCGGTTGCCCTCGCGCGCGATCCACACCGATCAGATCTAACGCTAGATCACTTTGGACCGGTCTCTCTCTTTCTCTCTCGCTACCTACGTTACCTGCTCTACCAATTAGCCTCGCGCACGTAACGCACGCACGCTTCTGCAATGTGTTGCGCGAACGAGGGCTCAGCTAACTACCGAGCCTAAATCTAGTCGTAGCAAGATAATTTAGCGATCGATTTATATTCGAGACTGACTGTCGAGAAGTATCTCGTAGCGAGCGAGGTGAGGGACGACAAAATTAAGAAAAACTCGAAAGTTTATTACGCATCCACGTACTCACGACACAAACGAGAGTAAAACAATTAAGACAACGATCTCGTGCACGACGAATTAAGAGCGAAACAAATGTGTACATATACGCACGTCATAACGGTATACGATATTGCCAAGTAATATTGAAAATTGAAGATAAAGATAAAGAAATAAAATGATGACTAATATATATGCATAATTGATAGGCGCAACTGTAATTAGAGGACGGTAAGAAGTGACTGCGATCAGTCATATCCCCGGCATTATCCGCGTTTCCTTTCAGTATATCG